AAAGCGAAAAAAAAATGTTTCAAAACTAGCTATTAAGTTAGAATAGTTTATTAACTGTGGAAGAAATATTGTATAACTGTGCACATGTGGATTTGATGATATAATAATTAAAAACGATTGTTAAAAATACTACAGAAAAGGATTCGATATATTTCGACGTCAATCATTTACCAATCATGTGGCTTTAAAGGAGATATTAATTGATACTTATGTAAAATAATAACTCGGAACTAAAATCCTTTATTAATTTTGTGATATATTATATCATATATAAAGCTAAAATAATGTTATTATTAAGGTAAAATATGAGGATTGTAGTACTACCAACAGGAATATATTTTGGAAATAAAATATTTATTATATAATGAAAATATGATTTAGCAGCTTATAGCCTAAATACCATTTATTTTTTGTTGGGATATTCACTCTGGCATTACGAGTTTTCTGTTTAAGAATTATCATAATGGAAATAATTTGATAAATATGTAAAAGACAAAACTTACTTAATTTCCGCCGGTAGACAAGTTATCCGAATCACCGTACAAAATACTCTCTCAGCAATGTCTGTGTAGATGACGACACTTTTAACACACCGCTAGGGGCCTCTAGTGGTAACAAAATATGATTTTTTAAGCACAATCGGTACATAGAACAACCTTCCCAGCATACTCTGCTAGAACAACAAATGTCAAGACTGTAAATCGAGGGAAAATGTTTATTTAATTTATTGTTATCTAAACATTTCACGTTTGATGAAACTTAATTAAATTGACTAACCTTTCTAAAGTTATAAACCTCAATTATTAAAGCCTATATTAATTACCCCTTATGTAAGCATACCTGTTGCGACCCATCAAACAAATCAAGATGGCGTGTTGATTATATTGATCGGTGATCAGAAACCTAAAGAGTTGAAGTGCGTAAAACCTTAAAATAAACTATTAAAAGAAAGCAACTAGAATGTCTTTGTTATAATTAAAATTAGTAAAATAAAGCTATTGCACTTAAAACAAAACGGAAAAAAGTGATCAAGACTCTAGTATAGCGTATTTATACTAATTATGATACGGTTTGAAAGATTAACCATTAGAATTGAAATAAATATTACTGAAAGTTGTTGTACAGAGTATATTGAAACAGACGGTTCTACTGATGTTTTATGGTGCGTGGTAGCGTGTAGTATGTTACCTATTCATTATGTTGTTGCCCCAACACAATTGATTATTTAAGTTACCGTGAGGGACACTCTCTGCTTGGTATTAGTAGCATAACGTCAAGATTAGCAAGTAATGGTTGTTTTTTTTTTTGTTTGTTTGTTTCACTTCCCACAATACACTAATACGCTAGCCATCCCTCATTTAGAAGGTAGTAGATTAGGGAAAGGCAGCTAGTCAGCATCGCCCACCGCCACCTTTTTGGTTTACTTTTCATCAACGAACAGTTGGATTGGTCGTTACATTATAACGCTCCCACGGCTGAAGGGATAAGCATGTTCGGTGATAAGATTCGAACCCGCGACCCGCAGGTTGCGATTCAGTAACTCTAAGCACCAGGCCATATCAAAACACAAGTAATGATAAATGCATATCAATATTTACTTTCAGAACCACCGCAACAAAATTCTGGGCGCCCCCTTTTAACGTATTTAACTCTAGAACGTATTCAATACGTAAATGTGATGAGAAGGTGGAAAAAATTTCTCGCGTGGTTAGAAATGCAAATTTTCGCATTCATGTTATTTTTATATAGTTATTATATTTGATGATAATTTACGTTATTAATTTCTCTTGTTATAAATATTTCGACAACGTTCTTGGAACATCTTTTGCGATGGCGAGCAAAGTCAACTCTGTAAGAAAGTCCTGAGACAAGAATGATACCAGATAAGTTTGAATTAATTCTAACTTTGAAAAAACTCCAAACAAAACACCAGTGTCAATATCTTCTTGGCAATGGTAAACAATAGATCAGGATTTTCAACATATTTTTGGATATTATAAATCAGAATACAATATTATTATCAAGTAACTACCAAATGTATATAAATATTTCTGCTTGAAATTTCTTGGCAAAACCCCCATTATAATGAATTGGCTAGTACGCGTGATAACATATCACGGCTCGATTTCCAATCAAAAGTGTTTTGTTTTGGTTTTAATGAAGAACCTGAGCCTACTTTGCCATCAATAGACCATCAATAGCAGAGACAGGATAATTCGCTCTTCATCGAAAATCAGAGGATTTGAATTTTTCTTTTTAGCCACCGAATTAATAATCATCTGTACGGTACTAAATTTCTTTTAACCATCCTTTTGGCCATTTCATGTCTCTTTTCTCTGTATTTAATAATTTCTACTTTGTGTCATTTTAAGCCAGTTCAATTATTTTAATATTGTTGCGTCAGCGAGGTCACGTGACTAGTGTCACGCCACCTATTTTCTAGAAATATCCTGTTTCTTCGTGAATGCTCTAGCATTTACTAGATTGGGGGTAGTCTGGTATATATAAGATGGTCACGGCGTGACGTGACAATGTGTGTAGGTAGTGAGTAATTGATCTGCAGTGAGAGAGTATTGTTGAAGTTAACGTTCGTTGTTAGAGCGTTTGTTTTAGCGCGAATGTTGAAATGAAGTGTATCGTAAAGTTATATTCAGAAAGAATAAACCAGTTTTATTAAGAAAGGACTTGTGTCGCTAAAGTTTCGTCGGAACGAAGTTATGGAAAATTAATTAACAAACGGAGACGTAACAATATTCTTTGCTCTTTAAATAATGTAAAACAGCCACTTACTACAAAAATAGACAAAACATACATAAATCCCTAAAGTATTACTATACTGGGTGGCTTCAAAAATTCTCCAGCTGCTGGAACTGAAGGGAATAACGCCTACACTAGATATTTTTTTAAAAACTAGGCTGATTTCTCTATAGGATATCTCCTGACATTTTGTGGTTTTTTATGAGTTTCTAGGTCCATATTTCGCATTTTTTAGATTACTTAGTCAATGATAGTTTCCAATATACGTGTAAGGGATATAATCCCACCCTGTCAGCTTGTACTAGTTATATAAGTTTCTTCACGACTCTAGGAGGAAGCGACACAGAATGAAGCAAGTAAAAGATGTTCTTTTGTCTGCAATAACGTCCCTTCCTTATCTTAAAATTGAACATTGAGACGCAAAATTTATAAATTAATTAATAATGCTAACTTCCTGTAATAATTTACTTATACTACATTTACAATATCATGACATTTACACATATGTAACAATGGGAACCTTTATTGACATTTGTTTGTTTGTTTGTAATTAAGCACAAAGCTACACAATGGGCTATCTGTGCTCTGCCCACCACGGGTATCGAAACCCGGATTCTAGTGTTGTAAGTCCGCAGACATACCGCTGTGCCACTGGAGGCGTTTATTCACATAAAGACTTCAACAGCCTGTAAAGATAAACAAATCAGTTCCAAAACTGAATAGAATTATAAATTATAATAAACTAACTAAAAAACTGTTTCAAAATCACAACAGTTAGTATTTGATTTTCATTACATCCACTTTTGTTATTTTATCCATTATGTTGAAATAATCACTTCAGGGATGTTCAGTTTCGTGTACTGTTGTACATGATGTTTGTTCTAAGAATAAATACTTTGAGCTTTCTTCGATTCTGTGTTCATCATTCTGTTCAACTTAGTCAATTCAATTTATTTTCTATAGTATGTTGAGTGTATGATCATTTTTTTATTTTATGATTATATTTTTTTATCCAGTCTAATTTCGTGATCCTAAATATATATGCTAATTTGTTGATATTTTATTCAGATAATTCCTGTTTTAATTTATTTTATCATGTTAATTGAGTTTTATTATGATTTTATTGATTTTGTACATTTTGTTCTTGGTAACCTTATAAAAGTTTTAACTCATTTTAATTTTAATTTCAAGTTTGTTACAATTTCTATTTTTGTACGTGATCTTAAGAGTTATTTATTTTGAAATTTTCTTTGTTTGGTATGTGTATAGATTTCAGTTTTCTTTTTTCCGTTATTTCCAAAGTGATGGACCATCACTTTGGGGCCCACTGAGAAATTTCCCAGTATCCCGGTGGGCCAGTTCGCCTCTGGGTATTACATGCATTTTGATTTATTTATATTCTATATTATATTCATTCCACTTCTCAGTTTTCTTTATTTAATTATTTCAAACTGTACTCAATGTTATGTTTAGTTTCTTAGTTGACTGGTTTGATTTGTTTAATTCTATTTATCTAATTCTATTTATGTTGTATTTGATTTCATTTATTTTATGGTCTGTTCTTTTTTCAGGATGGATAGCTCACGCAAGAGGAAATACAAGTCTGGTGCTCAAAAACGCGACGAGTCCAATAAGAAAATGTTACGCGAAACTGCTAAGTCAACAGTCCCAATCACACACTTTTTCAGTATCCAACCAGATTCTTCGGAAGAACTCCATCACTCACAAGAACATCAAGATAGCACAGTAGGAGTAGATCCACAAACAGAAAATAAAGGAAGAGAAGAAATTGATAACATAGAAACAGAAAGTGAACTTCATCAAGTGAATGAGGATACGCAGATGGAAAATGTAGAAAATCAAGAACCATTCCAAAATACGCCCTTACCTGCAACTGCACCCCTTGCCAGAAGAATGCAGCTAACACGTTCTACAGTAATGCAGCCAACGTTCAAAGATGTTAAGTTTCTGCCATTTGATCCAAAAAGGGTATATGAACGTAAAATTTCTGAAAACAGCGTTTCTCGAAATTGGCTGACAGTGAAAGTTGAAAACAAAGAAGTTAAGGCTGTTTATTGCAAGGTTTGTCAGGCCTTTTCCAACACATTTATCAAAGAATTTCTGAACACGAGGCGTCAAAGTCACACAATGCAGTAGTTCTGGCATTTTTCACTGCTGAAGAGGAAAGAGATATAGAATCTTTGTTGGCAAAGGAAGGCATTAAATTGAGGAGGAAGCAAGTTATGGAAAACATTGAAGTTCTGAAACGCATATTAGCTATGATCAAATTTTTAGGAAAACAAGCATTGCCATACAGAGGACATCGTGATGAATCAGGTGTTTACCTTGAAAACCAGAACATTGATCGCGGTAACTTTTTAGAAACGATACTGCTTCTCTCCCAATTTGATGTACCTTTGGCTAATCACATAAGCAAAGTTGTCGAGGTTTGTAAGGACTGGGAAAAGTCTTTAAGGAAAAAATGGAAAAGAAAAATCAAAAGGACGCGGAAATGTGGTATCGATGTTATCCAAAACAACCGTGAACTATATACTGGCAGCCATCCGGAGCATTATGAAGTCACGCATTGTTAATGAAATTGGGAATCAGAAATATTCTGTGCAAATGGATAGTACTCAAGACACAGCAGTGATTGATCAGGAATCCATAATTTTGCGTTATGTTTTGTTGGATTAAGTAAAATAACGTTTCTTTGCTCTAAACAAGGTTACAGACACTACTGGATATGGATTATACCAACAAATGAAGGCTACGCTGGAATATAGTGTATTAAAAGTGGAGAACATCGCTGGTGCATCGTTTGATGGAGAGTTGAATACAGCGGTGTGGTGAAGTATATGAGAGATGAAGCCCCACAATCCGTATACATTTGGTGCTATGCTCATAATCTTAATTTGACCTCAACAGATCTGGTCCAAAATATTCTGCCGGTCAAAAACTTGAGCGGACTACTACAGTCAACAGTGACATTTTTTTCGGAATCATGTAAGAGAATGAACATCTGGGCAGAAGTTGCTTCAGAGAAGACGGTTGGATCGGCGAAACTGAAAAGTTTGCAGAAGATTGGAGAAAACCGTTGGTGGGCTAAACACGCGGCCCCTGAACATACTTTCAGAAGTTTTGACTTACCACAGCCTGTCTTGCTTCGGATTGTTGAATCTCTCAAATTTGATGCGAAAGTTACTTTTGAGGCTAATTCACTTTTTCATAAATGGCGTATCTTTGACACTAACTTAACAGGTTTCTTGTTATTGCGGGTGTACAGTACCCTGAGATCGGCCTCTGAATATCTGCAAACTGAAGGCTTAGATTATCTTAGTACCTGGAATATGGTAGAAAAAGTGAAAGAGGTTTTAAAACATCTGGACTTCGAAAACATCATGAAAACAACAAGAAATTTCATTGAGGCAGCGAATCAAATGTTCGATGATGATGATGAGGAAACTGATTTTGCAATAGAAGGTGAATTCAGGAAGTTGAGAACATCAAGAAAGAGACGAATGTCTGGTGAACTCCAGAGGGATGATTCCCTGGATGAAAGATTGGATGATCCAGTGGATCGCTACAGTGTGGAAGTATTTCGTCGAGTGATCGACCAAATTACGACAAGTATTGTTGAGCGTTTTTCTAACAACCGTGAACTTGTAACTGACACAGCATGTTTTGATCCACATCGTTTCCAAGAACTCAAAGAAAATGGATTGCCACCAGAAGCGCTGAAAAACATATGCAATCGTCTTGGTTTGGACAAGCAGGAACTGAGCAATGAATTGCAGTCTTTCATCCTAAACTTCGACAGCCTTTCGAAAACTCTGAATGAAGAGTTTGCAACAACCAGACACCTAGAATCAGAACAGACACTTCAAACTCACTTTGATGTAATTTCAGGTTCACGTTGCACTTCTGAAAAGTCATGTAGGAAGTGCCTGCTTTGCTGTTTCCGTATCCTATTTGAGTATTCTTTACACGCATCTGCATACTCGAATTTGTTCTTAGCTTACAAATATCTTTTGACCCTGTCGTTTACACAAGTCAGTTGCGAACGCGCATTCAGTAAGTTGAAAATTGTAAAAACTCGATTACGCTCTTCGCTATTAACTGAGCTACTTGAAACTTTTATGCTGATGAGCATCGAAAAAGATTTACTTTCTGAAATTTCTGTGGATGATATTATTCCTTTTTCTTGTGAAAAAATCGACACAGTTTTGTAGATTGCTTGCTGTATAGGTGCTTTGTAAATTACCGAATTTTGACTGTTTTAATGATATGTGCACACATTAAAAAATGCACACGTTCCAATTTTAATTATACTTTGAAAACAATTTCAAATTATGCTTTGTAAATTACTCGGATTGGTTGTTCTATGATTGAGATTTTCATTTTTATTATAAGATTATTAAAATTTTCTAGTATTTGTATTATAAATACAACAACATTGAGTAGATGTAACATTTTATTTGCTTAAAATCTTTACTTTTATTAGATTCCTTTGACTACGTTTTGGGATTAAATGGGCCCTTTTGGACCCTTTTGAGTGGGCCCTTTTACAAGTTTTCCCGGTGGAAATTTTAGACCCAGTCCGCCACTGGTAATACCTATATATATATATCATAAAAACAATATACATGTATGCAAGACTGATATTGTGTTTCTTACGATATGACAGAACACTATAAGCACGATTTTCTGAATGATCTCTTTAGCCTATTGAATGCCCCTATTGAGGTATATTACTTCTGACATTGATGTTTATTGCCTTTCTTCAACAGTTCAAGTTGGCCTGACAAAGATCCCAGGTCTCTATTCATCCTATGGCCATTGTTTGGTTATGGCATTTCCACTGCTACATCACTGAGTCTGGATTCCAGAATAAGATACCAGATGAATTGGCAGCATTATGGAAAGAAATATTCAATAATATATATATTCTGAATACCAATTAAAACATATATGAAATCGTCAATGTCTTAGGAGTCGCTCGCAGGCTAGTCACACTCTTCATTGATTTTCTAGAAAGTTGTTGAATAATTTGTACTAAAAACAATTAAATAAGTACATTATAACTCTTTAACAACTATATGAAATAAGTAATGCAAAATTTTATATTTCTAAGTAGACAAATTTTGCACTTTTGCATCGTAATTATTTATTGTAAGAGGCCTGAAATTAAATACTTCTTGGGAGTCTTGATGTTAATTGCAAAAGTCTTGGGTGACAGACATTTTCATAACATCCAAACCACGGTTCCTTTTCCCCACCTAATACCGTGGGCTTTTAGGGCCTGGATAAGTCCAGGTTGTTTCTCGTCATTGGATGTGGCATCATTCAAACTCTTTCCGAGTGTCAGCAGCATCAGGATTAGGTAATCATAGTCCTTTAAAAGTTTGTACACCATGATAAGAAAGTGCGTGGTTCTAATCTCAGCAGTTGTTTAGGTCCAAAGCCAGAAAACCAGTCTTTATATAGGAAACGTTTAATTGCAAACTTCAAGTCATCTTAACTTTGTATAGCTAATAATATAAAGCTAAATGTCAGGCCGATCAAGTTACGACCAAACCTTTTCTAAAAAAAAAGGTCATTCAGACAGGTATAGTGTACATGCTACAACTTATAGAATCAGTAAGCTCATCTCTGCAAGAACACATTTGTAACTAGAATGCACTTGTTCTTTCCAATCACTGATGTTTCAATCAATTGACTATTTTACCTGCTTGATCAACAGCTAATCCACATATTAATGATTAAAAGATTAACGTTGGTGTCGTTGCTGATCATCAGAGCAGGCAGACTATTTATCTACTATTTCTTCATCTGACTCCACACAGACTGTTAGATATGTAGTTCTATCATCTTTTACACATCAGCTGACTCAATACCATGAAACACAATGCTTTTAGCATCAATGTGAGTCTACTTTTGGTGTAAAATTCTTGAAAGACTGTATATTTTTAGCAAAACTTTCAAAAATCTTCCTGTCCCACTCTAAGCAGTTTATCAAGGTGAAGTTTTGTGATGTGAGGCACACAACAGCTGTGCCTTTCGGCTCTTTTTTCTATCTGTACCATTTTTCTATGCTTGCCACGGAAACACGTGAGAGAAGCCAAGTATTTTTTCCGAATTTAGCAAGTATTTTGAGGCCAATCAGAATCTAGGTTTAAAAACAATCAATGAAAATCATTTGAAGAAAAGTTTGAAGCAAGAGGAACACGCATACCTTGCCAGGTCGCGATGATCAAGGACTTGTTCAAATATAACAATTCAGTATATGTAAGAATATAAACAATTAAAAATAGGTTTCATTAAATGATGTGCAACGATTTATATTGTTTTAGAGGTTATTTCGGAGTTTTACGGTTCCAATAATAGTTAGGCCTTGTCTAGCATGACGACAGCTGGTGGTTTTCAATATGTTTAAAGCACGAAAGACCGATGACTCACTCCACGTATAAATAAATTGAGACTTCTTAATTAAGTAAGCACCTGTTTTATTATTCTCTATGTTTGGGGTTTGGGTTTGAATATCACCAGTCTCCTCCGTATTAAGTGCGAGCCGCCACAGCATTGGTGATATACAGGTTAAGCTTGTTGGCACATCTCATGACTACTACAACTCATAACTCACCTTATTGAGCCGTTGGCATACGAAATGTGGACCAGTGTTGCAGACGCATAACATACCCTAACCTGGCCGTTTTTTTTTTGTTGTGAAATCTCTTTTGATAAACAGCACTTCACCCATCTTCTGATGCACAAATATATGTGCATCAACCACTGCAGATCCCAGCCACTCTGCATATTCCTATGAACATTTCATTATATTTGAATTGGATGGAAAGTCATACATTAGATTCACTTGGAACTTTCTTATAAATATCAAGAGCCTAAAAAAACAAACCAGCTCGCTGTCCCTTAGTTATACAGAATGCCATCATAATCACGGACACAACTACCAGCTTTGATCAAGTCAACGAGCGCATAATAGCTAACAATACTGAGGGTCTCAGACTCAGTGAGGTTTAGGTCACTGATCATGACATAGAATAGCTACTCATCCCAGCTAGGGTTCACACTTAACAAGCATGCACCTGATAGTTTGCACTATCCATTCAGACAAAGCATCTGACTAAAGATGTTATGGTCAATGGCATATTTTCATCATCACCAACACTGATTCTTCAGTGAACAAGAAAGGCAGACTTGAAATTGAAGCATGAAAAGTACTTGCTTATGAGTACACAGGTGGAATTCCTTGGTCGTATCGTAGAAAGGAACAAATTCTCCACAGACCCTGTGAAGGTTGCAATGGTAATTGGTTGGTTCTAATTCGTGACTGAACGAGAAATCCGCAATATCCTAGGTTTTGTTCTCGTATTATTGATACTCATGGTCAGTTTTCCAAGATTGTTGCACTGTTACCTGTTCTGATAAAATCCAACATGCAATTTAGGTGGAATGGAGATTAGCCATGCATTTAAGTCCCTAAAGTGTGCTTTAGTAGAAGCTGTGTTGTTAGGATATCTTAGACGAAAATGTCCATTCCTGCTGGATAATGATGCCAGCAATAATGTAATTAAAGTGGTATTTCTGCAGGTGTAGGATAGAGTAAACATATTATTGTATATGCTAGACATATGCTGATGACTCGTGAATGCAGATGCTGCACAACAAAGAAAATATTTGACAAGCATTTCTGACATTACTTGTTCAGGAGAAAATTTCTTATTTGTATGGCCTATATATCACTGAAGTGAATTATGAACTGAAAAAGAGAAAATAGATTACTGCACAATGAATCACAATGTCGCAAGAGCACGAGTTTTTAGTACATCATTATATGTGCTCATATCATGAAAACATGGATGGATTTTCCTACCAAGTGATGAGAGTTATGAACACTATAGGGATGAAAATCATTGCAGCAACAGTAATGTCAAACCATACATCATGTGTTGGAAATGGCGGTGAATAAGCCATATGATAGCTCCAATGATTGTTAAATTTGCTGATGACGATTCCATGAACTATGAGGAAGAAATTAATTGCAACACTGGCAGTTAGGATGGTATCTTGATTGAAAAATCAATGACTAAATATAAGTGGCATTTCTTAGTTAACTGCTAGGCTGGCAGTTAGGATGGTATCTTGATTGAAAAATCAATGACTAAATATAAGTGGCATTTCTTAGTTAACTGCTAGGCTGGCAGTTAGGATGGTATCTTGATTGAAAAATCAATCACTAAATATAAGTGGCATTTCTTAGTTAACTGCTAGGCTGACAGTTAGGATGGTATCTTGATTGAAAAATCAATGACTAAATGTAAGTGGCATTTCTTAGTTAACTGCTAGGCTGGCAGTTAGGATGGTATATTGATTGAAAAATCAATGACTAAATGTAAGTGGCATTTCTTAGTTAACTGCTCGACTGGCAGTTAGGATGGTCTCTTGATTGAAATATAAATGACTAAATGTAAGTGGTATTTCTTAGTTTCCAAGTTATTAAATAATGTTTACAATAGTATGTGTTTACTGCATAATGTGGGGCCCTTTAGTTATTAAAAAGTAAGAGCAGTTGATTTATCACAAGTTTAACAGGACTAAAAAGGTGTTTTGATTACTTTCTAAGCTTTTAAGCAGAGTTTCATTGAAAGAGAGCTACAAGACATTATGGGACAGCTACTCAGTTATTAACGGGTGGACCTGAGCAATAGTGTTGACATTTAATGAATAAAATCTGGTTTTAGATCAGATTGTAGTATTGTACAGAACCTTACAACTTTCAATTATACTCTTCTAGCTGAACTTCTGACAAACCCAAAACGAGGTTGACCAAACATTTTCAATCTTAACTTTTTGTGTACAAGTTCGAATTCCTAACATTTCTGGCTATCTTTTCCATTCAACTAGTCACGAGTTTACTCTCATTGATTTGTTTATTTCACCACCCAAACTTATTCACAAAATGAAAGGCAAAAGTATTTTTTTTTCTGGCAGTGTATTCAACTATGAGGAACACTTAATAGTCCCAAGACTCCCCAGGGCCAGCCTAACCTTCTTGATAGATTAAGACATAATTTTCACTGATGCATCTGATACTCAGGTTCTCACGAAGGCCACAAATGGACTAGCCCTGGGTTCTGAGAAGCCACCTAAACTACTGTCAACTTTAGGTGTTCCATCATTCCTGGAGCTGCCAAAAACCAAACCATCCATGGTCAGGATACATCTCTTCTCACCACACGAAAGGAGCTAAATCTGCCCCCAGCATAACCACTTCTGCCAGCAGAAACTATTACATTCATGATTTAGACTTAAACCACAGTAAAGAAGAGTGAATGACAAAGTTTGGTGAGATGACTTCTCAGAGACTGCAACATAACTAAAAAAGATAGAAAACTTAGGTGAGAACATCGTAAACCCAAATCAAATAAGACCTTCAGGAACTAAGGTTCAAATGGAAGCAGAAGAAATGCTGTGTAGGCCACCTTTCATCAATGGCATTGACATTATCTGCCCATTCTGTGACAGTTTTGGTCATCTGATCAGTCACCACAATCAGTCATTGCCAAGAAACTATTCATCTAAAGTTTCCAACCACAGCACTAATAAATATCCAGCTACAATACAATTTACAAAGGTACACTGCCCTCAAGCACCATTGCCATACTTAGGCAGCTAAGTGGACCAAATAGTTCTACAAAATATTGTTGTCTAGATCCAGTTACAACTAGAGTATATATATATTCTAAAAATGTTTAAATGTACATTCAACCAAAACTAGTATGTAACTCAGTAAAATGTGGCTAATGTTTATCACAAAAATAACCTTTTAAAATCAATGAATGTTAAAGAAGGGATTTTGGGAAATTATTTAACTTCTTAATCGAAATAAATATAGATCAAAACATCTATAATAACTTGCCTACAAGCGTCCAGGTAATATATGTATATCTTTTGTAAACATTTCAAGACGAAATTTATATTCATTTTACTTAAAATAACACTCACCAGTTCAATATACTTATAAGCAAGAGCATTCAGACTGTCAAACAGTAAGAAACGAAATTTTCTAAGTGAAAAGTAAAGTATTAACGGTCAATAACATTTAACAGAGAAATATTATATATCATGAAAATGAGTTGTGAGAAAGCTGAGCAAGAAACCTGGGATTATTATACATATGCTCAGTGGTTGATTGTAGATTTTAAGCAATATTTTGCAGGGTCCAGGGCATACTCATAACATGGGCTTTATTCTCTTCGACACCGATACACTATTTAATAAAAGAGAAATTATAGCATTTAAAACATTTTTGTGACGGAAGTATTTTAAAAATTTGAGTTCTTTTATTTGTGAAATGGCATAGATATATCTTACCACTTTACACCATTATTTTTCGAGCCTTTTTCATTGCAAAATCACAAATAACATTATGGAATCAATTGTTCTTGCGAGTTCACAATAGACAAAACAGGAAAATGACTTTAGAGATTCTGTATCATAGTAGTTTGTTGCAATTTTGACAAGTCCCAGCTTGCTGAAACTTCTTTCAGCTCTGCCAACACAAGCAACAGACAATAGTTTACTTGCTTACAAGATGGAAGCAAAATTGATTCCATTATCCAATGTATGAGGCTTTGGAGCAAAAGTGGGTATAATTAGCCATATAAATAACATTCAGATAACATTAGTTAAATATCCACAATTTAGCCTGAATTGTTTTTCTCGTGGTAATAGACTTGTGGCCCACTGGGCTCCTTGAACCGACGAGCCTTGATAATTTATATCAATTTTCACACCTTAAATTGGGTCCTGGTTGACTGTGATTCACTGTCCAGATAAACTGATAGGACTGAATCTAAAAAATACTTTTAACTAAGGAATAAATAGCTTATTCTCTTTTGCTGTGTTTGTTTGTTTATTTGAATTTATGCACAAAGCTACACAATGGGCTATCTGTGCTCTGCCCACCACGGGTATCGAAACCCGGATTCTAGCGTTGTAAGTCCGCAGACATACCGCTGTGCCACTGGTGTGCAACGAAGAGGGTAGCTCGGACTTCCCGGATCATTCGAGAAACATTACACACGCTGTCAGCGCCAAACGCGCCAGCAGCGTCACGTGACTTCCGCTGTCGTAACAATACTGTTGGTGTGAACGTGCTTTGTAGTCACTACGAGAAAAACCTATACACTGGAAAAGTGAGGTGAAGGAAAAGCGTCAGTTTTTCACATTATGTAGCCGCACAATAGCAGATATAATAAATAAACTTAGTATTCCGACAAATGTTTAATTTCGAAACCTAAGTTCAAGGGAGGTCCAGTTTAATCTACACTTTGATCAATGTGAGTTATTGGATTATACTACTACTAGTTTCGGAGAATTACACTTTTCGACATCAGTAACCCTGAACATAAGTTAACCAAAGAGAGATAAGCTGGACCTACATCAATTTTCGGAATACTAAGTATATTTATTATTTATTGCGACTAAACTCATATTATTTCCTTACAATACATTTTGACACATAATGTCGCTGCTGTGCACGAAAAGTAATGTAAAACTGTTATAGATGGGAAGAGCGTAAGGTAGGAGTACTTATTCGATACACTATTAAATTTGTCTAATGCTAACACGTATACTGATATGGCGTGAATCTGCGTTCTTACATCTGTACCGCCGGCTGTGTATTGCCTTGGCCACCAAATATTGACTCCATAATCGTAAAAATAGTGTATAGTCGTAATCTCAATAGTAGTACTACTACATGTGGGTTATCACAATTTATAAACATTAGTATAATTTGGATGGGATAACCTTAATAGTGTTATG